CCCACACGGTGTGAGAAGAGCTATCTGAAGAACTGCACTCAATGTCATCGCTCCATTCATTGATCTTACTGCAATAATTAGGGATGGTTTGGAAAACAGAGACTGGCACTTGTCGTTTTTCTCATTGATTTTTCCTTATACTTTATGTCTTAGCCCTTGGTAGCATTACGAATATACAAACTACGGCTAAGTCCTAATCTACAGAGGAATACACATGAGGCTTGGACTCGGATCAGGACGGCCACTGCCACCCAGACGTGCAGCTGGGATGAGGCTACCCTGGGTATGTTCGCGAGTGACCCCACATCTGTCACCTTCCACCACGAGCCCTGTGGCTTTCCGTCCGTCTCTGCTCACCTGCTGCCTATAAGGAATCTCCGGGGGGCTCCCTGAAGTGCATGAGCAGTAGGAAAGGCTCCCTATCCGCCTCTCAGCGGCCTTATCCCCATGTCTCTTCTAGAAGCTGTGATGAGAAAGAAGAAACAAAGCCCTTTCTCCTGTCTGCACCCTGCTTTGGTTTGCCTGCCCGACCTTTGCGAAAGCTCCAGCTAGGTCTCCGCTCAGCCTCCCTGCCTAACCCCTGGACCAGGGTCGGAGCGGCGGAGCCTGTGACTGTGCCATGTGGTTACCTGCGCACCCGGTCAGCGCCACGGGAAAGTCACCGCTCCATTTCGTTTACTTATTTACTTTTTTAGAGTGATAAAGTTCCTTATTTAGAACAATAAAGTATATGTATATATAGTGTAATTTCACATTCAAACCTCTATAGAAAAGGTCAGGACATAGACTTTTTTTTAATCCTCACCTGAGGATATTTTTCTATTGATTTTTAGATAAAGTGGAAGGGAAGGGGAGAGAGAGAGAGAGAGAGAAACATCGATGTGAGAGAGACGCATTGATTGGTTGGCTCCCGCACACGGGGCCAGGAATCGAACCTGCAACCCAGGTACGTGCCCCTGACTGGGAATTGAACCCGTGACTCTTCGGTCCTCTGGCCGACGTGCTAACCACTGAGCAAAACCAGTATAAATATACCTGTAAGTATATACCTATTTTTAAAAGTATGCATACAGTATATACACACACACACACATCACACTTTACAACCCTTTTTATTTAATTCAGCTTCGGCCATAATAAAACTGCTTCCACCAGTGTTGACATGTGGTAGTGACATTCCCACCACCACACACAGCTCCCGCCTGATGAGCGAGTGACAAGCCTGTGCACCCGTCTAAATGTCTGCACACATTCACACCCGATTTAAAAAATCATGGCAAGCGGGAGACTAGGACCATACACGAGTCCTTAGGACCTAGGAGAATAGAACATTCGGAGTGGAAAATGTTACTGAGCAAGTCTTACAGCTCAGAAATCAAGAAACTGAACATCCTTATGATTTTTTTCGCTTAAACAGTTATTTTATTTTTTTAAAACATCAGAAGGAGGTAGTTGGAGTTGGCAGTTCTCTGTTTGCAAAGCTTAGCACACGTTTTAGGATCGTGACTGCCCATGTCACTGTGGATTGCTTCTAAAACGATAGCTTGTTAGGAGACGAAGGTACTGTTACTGTAGCTCCCCAGCAAAGGCGTGTCCGTGGAAAGCCACAGCACCAGGCGTCCTGTGACGCGATGCCGCCAACAAACCAGTCAGAATTCCAATCCGAATGTGTATACCTTTATGCCCATTTCAAAATAACATGGTTTCAAAGACAAGATAGCGTAGTTAAAAATTCTTACCCCTTTCCAATTTAAAATGAAATTTACGAATTACCCCTTTCCAAATGGATTCTAGACTCTCTTTTGGCATTCAGAAACACGTTGCGAGCATCTTACATTTTCTGCTCTTAGCTTACAGGAAGATGAGAAGGTTTAAATGCCCAATTTGGTACATTTCCAAATGTTACGCACAGCTTACAGTATCTCTTCCTGTCGAAAAGGCAGTAATGTTCGTCATTCTTCAGAGGTGATCCGAAGACAAAGTTAAGCAAAGCAGAAAGCCGACTCTTGTGTTATCCAGTTCACCCGACATGAGACTGAATCTCACTTTTACTAACGGACCCTATTTACTTTACAAACAAGAACAGCAGACTTTATGTTCAGATTGCTTATTCCCAGAGATGAGAGCTGGATATTTTTCATGGAATAGTTTCAGCTCTATTTAACCTTCACTGATACAATGACACCCAATGAGAGGAGGTGATTTACCAGGATCAGTTAACAGCAGAATGAAGTCTTCTTACAATTTTCCCCAACATTTATCCCGCTATGCCAAACTGCCTTTTGGAAAAATAATTTTTAGTTAAAGAGACATAAATACGAAAAGGCTAAAAGCCCTATATCGGAATTACATTTTGAAAACAAAACCGAGCTGCAGAAAAACATTAAGAAATACCCATGAATTTCAAATAGATTTTTTTTTTGTCAATTTAACTTCAATTGGATTAGAGTTCCAAAATATGCCACAAAATTTCTCCCAAGTATTTTAATGCACAATGACATATGTTTCTTACTAACAACAAACACTTCATTATGGACACTGACTTTTCATACATTTTCATTTTTCACATACTTAATCCTTTCTTAAGAGGATAGGTTCCTTATTCTATTGTTGTAGTTTAAAACAACCAATCTGTCTCTGACTCATTAAAAAGTGGCAGTATGGTAAGCACATTATATCATATAAAATCCAGGAACACTTTGACATCACTGGGCGGGAACAGTGTATCACAGAGCCAGTGTCTGTAGAAACGTGGGTTCTACCAAAGAGGCACAAAGCTTTAGGTATAATTTAGAATCTGCAGACTTCTGAGATCAGCTTAAAAGGCAATTTTGAAACACTGACTTGTGAAGAAGAATATTCAGAACACATATTAGATAAGACAAAGTAAAGATATATGTTTGTTTGTTTGTTTGATCTTAATGCAGATATGACACAGCTAATGCCTACCCACCTAGCATCCAAAACACTTTCGGTCCTTTTCTACTGTCCGTGCACTTTATGGAACGTCAGTGTTTTAAAAACTGGCAATCCATGTAACTCTCAATGAACCAATACATTTAATTAAACAGAATATATCTCCCTTTGCCTACCATGCCAGATTTCATAACTTGCTGCATTGTCTATTTCTCTTTATTGATCAGGACCCTGTCCTGGAGTGTCAGAACCCAGATACAGCTGAGAACAAAAGTGTGTTATTGTACTCTCAAGGGTATTAAACAGCACTGGCCCTTGCCTAAGAAAATCGAAGCCATTGGTGAAACAAGCCGAACTGTTAAGTATCAATCTTCTCAATCTACTCAAGACCCACTCACATGACTCATATTAATCTATGTCTGGCTTCCTCAAAACGATCAATGTCACATGCCGGAGACAGGTCCTTTCAGCAATTAAACTGATCGCTGATCCTATTACTGATTGATTACACGGTGGGCTGAGGGCCTAGGTAAGTTTACGCAGCTTCCCAAAACACTGGGTTTATTTTTAAAAAATGACTAGTGCTTGGGGAACCACAGAGCTTTAGAGAAGGAAGGGATCATAGAAATCTTTGGGGCTCTTTGGTCCAAAAAGAAGAGCAAAGGCCACATACTGATGTTGTATTTGCATTAGCTGTGAGCATAAGCTACAATTCAACCACCCTAGAATTCCCCAGACTTTAGCCTTGGAAGGAAAGCTAGCCCTTTGTATCACCACACGGACAGTGATCACCTGGAGGTGCTGGCACATGGCAACAATGTATCATAAGGACTAAGCTATCACGGAAAGCTTTGGATTCCTTTATGTGTACGTACATGATACAGTGAAAGAAGCTTCTTCAAAATAAGTCCTGAGAAATCATTCAGATGTTTCTTTGACCACAAAAAAAAAAAAATTGGCAAGGGAAATTCACACAGTGTCTTACAAGTTCTAGTTTAAAGGCGCAATGTGCATCGCGGGAATTCCTTGTAATATTCACTCTTAATAAGACAAACGCTGCCCTATATTTTCAATAGCAAACTGACATGCATAACTACATAGAGATCTCTTTTTATTTTTAATTCATAAACCTTAATGGATATAGAGTATCTGACTTTTTTTTTTTTTATCCTCTCCTGAGGATATTTTTTTTATTTTTAAAGAGAACGGAAGGGAGGAGGAGGGAGGGGGGAAGAGAGAGAGAGAGAGAGAGAGAAAGAAACATGGATGTGAAGGAGACACACCAATTGGTGCCCCCCACACGCACCCCAACCAGGGCTAGGGATTGAACCTGCAACCCAGGCATGTGCCCTTGACCGGGAATCAAACCTGCGGCTCTTCAGTCTGCAGGCTGACGCTCTAACCACTGAGCAAATCGGCCAGGTCTGCTATCGAGATTTTGTCTTTAAAATTCTTCTAGGTCCCTTTAAGGAAAACGATAACCCCGACTACCCAGGCTGACCTCTACTTGAAGGGACCAAGGTAACACACACTGCGGGGTGTACTCAGAGTAAAGCGTGGGGCTCCGCAGCGGGCGGACGTTTCTGGAGCCCGCAGAGGGGCGCGCAGCCGGCTGGGCACGTGCTCTCCCACGGCAGCCGCAGGTCCTAGACGACACGACACGTCCCCCGGGCCCTGAAGGCAGTCCAGCTCTGCACAAGTGATTCATCTGGTGCCAGTTTCATAGCAGAACACTCCGCTCCCATTTCTGGGTCCCATATGGAGGTCACGGGCAGCAAGAGCAGGTCACCGCGCGGTCTGTCGCTCCACCTGGAATATGTATGTGTTTAAAGCAGCTGCACTTATGACGCAAACACGAACTGGGACCCACCAAGGCACGAAAGCAACGGTGTTCATACAAGCCACCGCTCGGCTTCTTAAAACTCTCTCTCTTTCCCACAACATACTCACCTGATTACCCCCTCCTCCCTCGGGGGGCTCTCAGCCGCCCTGGTAAGAGCGGGTGGTGTCTTCTCCCCGGGGCAGGCTCCCAAACCAAAGCCAGTTAGAGGAGGAAAGATGCTGGCACTGCCATGCTGCCCGTCCTAGGCGGGGGGCTCCACGGGAATGCCAGGCCTTCCTGTTGCTGCCCTGCGGTCGCTCCTAAGGGAGGCGGCGGCGACAGGAGGTGGCATCAACGGTTTTGCCACACTGACTCTGGAACCATGTTCAGGACCTGATGCTGAAGAAGCCACACAGTCACTAGGTTCAGACAGTGCCATCTCCAAGTCCTTGAAGACATCGATGGATCTACTAAAAATTCCAAAGAATTCTTCAGGGGTCAACAGCTTGGGTTCCAGGCTCTCGGACGACCTCTGGACCTTCTCAAAGAGGTGTTCTTCCATGCACTGCACCAGGTCATCCACGATTTGCACAAGTTTGTCTATGATGGAGTAATTACTCCAGCTTCCAGGAACATTGCTGAACTTGTCCAGGAGATCAGTCAGGCTGACGGACAACTGTTCCACCATGTCACTTATCCAACAGTGACTAGGCAAAGTGTCCACCTCGGGGACATAGTTCAGCGCTATCTTATAGTCTTTGGGGAGATTTGCCACCAGTTTTGTAATGTCATTCACATCGTCGGTTACGCGGCTGGTGCAGACCCCTGCAGTTTTGACGAGAAGGTCGAAGAGCAGGTGAACATAAATGCAGGTGATCATCCAAGTTTGGGTCTTCATAAGGGCAGCAGCGCTGGTCCCAGCCCCAGCAGCGGCGTGGAGACTCCACTGAGCTGTCCTGAAGATTCAGCCCTCTGCTCTGTCAGCTGCGGATGGTCCTGCACTGGGCAGTGCCCCCTGCACGGCCTGTGCTCCTCTGGGCGCCCCAGGACCCGGCACAAGGCAGCGAAGGAAAAGCCAACTGCACATTAAACAGATAGTCCTCCTGTGATGTCCTTAGCTGCACACCTGCCCCTGGGTGTCCTCTCCATTGCCCGTGAGCTGCACGCTCCGCCGGTCCCCACCTCTGGCTCTCAGAGAAACCACCTTGCCCCTGGACCTTCCCCTGCTGTTTACGTCACTCACGAGCAAACCACCAGCATTTATTTCTTTTTGTTATCAACCATCTTCATGAGTCACCGTTCTTCTAAAACATCTCCTTTCTTCTCTCAACTTTTTTAAATCACCTTTTTTGAAAAGATGATATCGCCAACAGTCTTGCCTTGACATTGTACCTCTAAGGAGGGCATCCGTTCCCAGAACTGTTTTTAAGGCCCTAGCCCCAATGTATTCTTTGCTCGTCACTAAAAGAATGAGTTTTGCAATTCCTTCCACTGTTTCTTCCACATCCGCAGAGATGACGAGATAACAGAGGAATGAATCAGATGCTGCGGCCGAATGCTAAGTCCCTCCTGTCCGGCACTGTCTGCAAAGTTCACTGTTTCGAAAACGTGCGTTATCACGCTGGGTCCTCACAATGGCCTCCGAAGAATGGAAGGACGGGCGTTATCACCCCAAGGTTAACAGCTAAAGTATGTACTTAAGGTCACGAGACCCAGCAAGTGGCACTGGGACCTCCTTTCCTCTCCTTTCATCAGACTTAGTGGTCCAGCCAACGTCGGCATGCTGGGAGCTCCCATCACCGCCTTAAGTCTATGCCAGTTTCATCCTCTATATTAAGAATTCTTTTATTTATTTATTTATTTATTTAATCCTCACTCAAGGATATTTTTCCATTTATCTTCAGGTAGAGTGGGAGGGAGGAAAGGGGAGAGAGAGAGAGAGAGAGAAACACCCATGTGAGAGGGACACATCGACTGGTTGCCTCCTGCTCGATCCCGACCAGGGCCGTGGACCTAACTGCAACCAAGGTACGTGCCCTTGACCGGAATCGAACCCACGACTCTTTGATCTGAGGGCCAATGCTCTAACCGCTGAGCTAAACCGGCCAGGGCTATATAAAAACTCTTAATTGTTTCTAGTAGGTACTAAGTTTGTTCTCTGGAGAAATGACATCATTTCCCCGTTCTCTAATTTCGCATACGATGGTGTTATTCCCAGCTCCGAGATCTTTGCAGTGTATAGCCCTGGGAATTTCAAAATTCTGTTACAAATATAGCATTATTATTTGTTCATGCTTCACAAGCAACTGCTTTTTGTAATCATAAAAACAAAAATTCCTCTAAAGTTTTAAGACATAATGATAATAACCATCTGATTTTAACTATAGCTAATAGAATATTGAAAAAATATTAAGACTGCCCTGGCTGGTGTGGCTCAGTGGTTAGTGTCAGCCCAAGCACTGAAGGGTTTGGCTCCCAGTCAAGGGCATGTTCCTGGGTTGCAGGTTCAATCCCCAGCCCCAGTTGGGATGAGTGCAGGAGGCAACCAATTGATGTGTGTCTCTCACATCAATGTCTCTCTCACTCTCTCTCTCTCTCTCTCTCCCCCTCCCTCCCTCCTTCCTTTCCACTCTCTCTAAAAAATCAATGGAAAAAATATCCTCAGGTGAAGATCAACAAAAAAATAATAATAAATAAGGAGATAACCAAGAACTTCTCGACCTTATGGGTATTAAAATACAAGACAGGTTACAGAGCACATGATAAAATCATAATCCTTTTAAACTTCTTAAAAATCAATGAAATTGTAAGGATTGTTTTACATATATCCTAAAAGTTTCATATGTCCCTAATGAGAAAAAGACACAATGGGGAAAACTATGGATCAGGTGATGCTTTAAAATAACAATTTATTTATGATAAATTAAGAGTGAATGAAATAAATCCCAGATCGTTTCTAATGCTGACAGGCTGCATGCACATTGACACATATATAAGTTGCATAAATATGTTTATAAATTATCAAAGAAATATTGAAACACAGCAGAGATTTCTGTGAAAGAAGTGCCTATTCAACAAAGTAAATAAAACAGCAAATTTATGGGCTCCACAAATCACTGAGAAAAAATCCATTAAAAAAAAAAAAGTGCCCTGGCCCTGGCTGATTTGGCCCAGCGTTTGCAGCGTCGACCTGCACACCAAAGGGTTGCGGGTTCGATTCCAGTCAAGGGCATGCACCTCGGTTGCGATCCCTTCTTGGCCTGGTCGGGGTCGTGTGGGAGGCAGCCAGTCAGTGTGTCCCTCTCACATCGACGTTTTGCTCTTTCTCTACCTTCCTTCCACCTTCCACTCTGTCTGAAGATAAACAGAAAAATATCCTCAGGTGAGGATTAAAAAAAATATATTTAAAAATTTTTTTAAAGTGCCCTGGCCGGTGTGCTCAGGGGTTAGAGCATCAGCCCGAGCGCTGGAGCGTCTTGGGTTCAACTCCCCATCAAGGGCACGCGCCTGGGTTGCAGGTTTGATCCTCGGCCCTGCCAGGGCACGGATGGGAGGCAGGTAATTGATGTGTCTCTCTCACGTCGATGTTTCTCTTTATGTATCTTTAGCTCTCTCTCTCCTCCCTCTCCCTTCCTCCCTTCCACTCGCTCTAAAAATCCATGGAAAAAATATCATCTGGTGAGGATTAACAAAAAATACAAAAACAAAAAAGAGGAATGATTTTGCTACTTTTGTTAACAGTGAACAGCGTCAGATATTAGACCTCGGTCCTTGAACTCCGGGTAAGAAAGAATTCAGAGCTAGGACTCAAACACAAGAGAAATTTTATCTAGAAAGTCACAGAGGTGGTAGCGAGCCCCTGGAGAAGGGAACAAGCCGGGCTGTGTGGACTCCGGAAACAAGTCACGGAGGCAGAAGAAGGGCCCTTCGAGCTGAAGGGAAAAAAAGGCAAAGAAAACGCACCAGGAGGAAGGAGAAGAGAGAGAAAGAGAGACAGAGAGAGAGAGAGAGAGAGAGAACGCTCGGGTCCTTCATCTTAAGGGGTTTTATCTGTTCTCTAAAGGCGGAGATTGTAGGGGTGGTCTCAAGGGAAGATCTCAATAGAATATTAATCAGCTTTCCAGGTGGGTCTTTTTCAGGGTCGTGGCAGGGGTCACTACACTGCAGCCAGACCTGATATCAGCCATGGCTCACCCGCCTGTCCTTGCTGCTTGTCAGGGCCTGGAGCTGAAACACAACTGAGACCTAGATGCTATCTCTAGTTTGACCTAAACTCTTGTCTCTGTGGTCAACAGATCCGAGGTTTAGTTCCCAAGATTATTTGACGCAGGTCAGAACCTCGCTGTCCTGAGGTCTTGGCTTCAGGCGGTGCCCCGCAAGGGCGCGTGGGCATCCGCGAGGATTCTCCAGCCCCCCGGCCCTCCTCTGGGGTCTATGGCATGACTAGCGGCGTACGGGGGAGGAAAAATGGGGGAGGGTCTGACCCCCATGACTAGCTGTACGCTGGGGGAGGAGGAAAGGTGACCCTGCGGACAAGGTCCCACCCCAGTTCTGCCTCTTGGCAGGTACGCAGGGCCTTCCGCCCCGGTGACCTTCAGTACCCACCCTACTGCCGCCCTTCTGCTCAGACCTAACCCTACAACATCACTTCGATGCCCTGACAGTAAGAAAGACGAACCGAGAGTGTAAACACAGGCTGAGACCTGGCTTTAGAGTTTATGTGCCCAGGAAAACTAGAGAAAACCTTTTAAATATTACATGGAACCAACTTTTTAACAAGATTGCCTCCAGAACACGTAACTAATTAGTAACAAAAAACAGACACCATCTGGATTTAGAAGTAATGGTCATTAGTTCCGGGCTATCTGTGATGCTTAGGTTCTATCTACAGAGTGACCTTGGACCTCAATATCCTTATTTTTCAAGTGAGGGTGCTAGATTGGGCAATTTCTAAAATCCTTCTATAACCCTACACCTCTATGAATAACAGCAGAAGTCTACTGGTCCAAGCCTAATCTGTTTTGTTTTTTCTTTCTTTATTTTTTTTTAGAGAGAGAGGTGAACAGAGAGGGAGAGAGAGATAGAAACATCGATGAGAGAGAACATCGATTGGCCGCCTCCTGCACGCCCCCCACTGGGGATTTAGCCCACAACCTGGGCATGTGCCCTGCCCGGGAATTGAACTGGCGACCTCTTGGTGCAGGGTCAACACCCAGGCACTGAGCCACACAGGCCGAGCAAAGCCTAGTCAGTTGTAGACCTCCAGCAGGGACTGGAAGCTCCTTGTCCACAACCCGCAGGTGAAGTGGGTTTCTCCTCACAGCAGTAACATCTCCAGGGACTCCATTCCTGGTAAAGCTACCTTCTCCCGCCCTAGTAGCAGATGATAGTATGTTGCTATCCAACTGTGTCACAACAGAATAGAACTCTGCTACAAGCAATGGGAAATCATGTTCGGCAAGGAGCTGAGTAGTGACTTTTAAACACTGCGTCGGAGAAGGCGATGCCAGCTCTGTGCCCACTTGCAACAGCAGCGTAGCTTCAAGCCAGCTGGGTGACTCTGAAGAAATGGTCGCGGTGCAGTGTTCAACCAAGTGTCTTGCAAATGAAATCACTGGACATGTGTTCCCTGCTACCGAGTTCTTAACCCAATTCTCAGATTATAAAGACGAAAAATTTTACGTTTGCCCTTTCTTATTTTAAAGTCAAGCCATAGCCAGGAAACAATAAGCTCTGATTCTGCCTCTCCTGGGAAGAAGTCTCACATCATTCCAAACTTCCTAAACGTAGAATGTAAATAACAAAGACAAAGGTAGTTTTGCAGGCAGGAAGTGGTTCACCATGGGGATTCTTTAAAAAAAAAAAAAAAGGTGGGTGGGGGGTGAAGGCAAAGAAGAG